AGAGCTGTTAGCTGTTAACACGCCGAGAATTGGAATAAAAATGAGAGAAACAAAACGACAACTGCCGCTCAACAATAAATCTAATGAGCGTGCCTTCGCAGAATGGAAAGATTCAGAGATTGATCGCGCCAGTCAATAAATCAGCTCGTGCCTATGTAAATTATTGGAGCATTTCAATTTCTCCGCTATCCATATATTTATATAAACGAGCTTCTAATCAGCTTTTTCGCTAGTTTTTCTTTTCCTCGGCCGAAGTGCTGCCACGCTCGGTCCCATTAGCAAGATAATGGGATTTCACGCATTATACACATCGTGGCAAGGCCGCGTCGCGGCGTTGGAATGCAATTAGATTTAACGCGTGGGAGAGCGAGCGAAAAGTGCGTGCGGATTTCTCAGTTGAGTAACTTTATATCTGTTCGCGTCTGCATTCGTCATATTATATTGCCGCGCCATTGTATCCGAGGTGAAAAGATTTCCTCCTGGTGTTAACCTCTATTTTCTCGCCGCGGAATAGTGAGAGCCTTTGCAAGTTGCATCCGTATCATTGATAGCGATTACCAAGCAGACCGCCAGCAGCAGGCTCACGGGAACCCGATTTTCATGCAAATGTTCTATTATATTGAAAAATCTAATTTACAGTCAAGGCGAGTTCCTATCTAAATGTTTGACTGGCCTTTGATTTGGTCGTCTTACTAGATGCTGCAAGGCGCGTTATGATCGCGGTGTTCGACACCGAACGAACATACTCCGTGCGAACACGATGAGAGACAGGAAGAGACAGTGAGATTGTCGCAGTGAATGTGCGCCGATGGTTTTCGTCGGTCGCCAAATGGCAAAACGCGTTCGTTCGACGATGAAGAAGAAACAAAGCGAAGACTGAAGCAAGAAACGCCGGGCAGATAAATTTATCAAAGGCACGAACGGCCGTGAAGCGTATTTAGAAGCAAATAAAGGCGCCACGCGGGATGAGAAAAAAAGAGCGCCGCGCGGGAAGCATTAGTCATTCCTACTCGGCAATGGCTGATGCCGCACGGCACGCGGCCTTTAGAATCTTAACGACGGACTTTTCTGTCTCTCGCGGCGAAGAGTGCATTACACCTCGTGGATGGCTTTCGAGACGCGCGTGCGTTTCGGAACACAGTCGGTGCGTACAGGTACTCCAGGACGCGCGCGATCGTTACTTTGCAAAACCGTCACTCGAGGCTGAGTGTTTTGACGTGCGCCTAGGTGGCCGACGGATAATGCTGCGATACAAAAGACGCGCGTTCGCAGTGACACGCCGGTGCATCGTCGGAGGAGTATATTTGCGACGCACGACGCGCGGCGACGCATCGTAGCTATCAGTTTACGTAACTACGGCAGCGTGATGGAGCGACAACAGGTTTAACGATCGCCGCCAGTCCGCGCGCGCTTCCACGAATGAAAACGAGAGAAAAACAACGAAACGTGCAGCAGCAGCTGAAGCAGCAACGGGTTGGGAAAGCGCGTGCCTGCGTGTGCCTTGGGATTACGGGTCAGCAAAGGAGGATCTTGGTATCGATTCTCGCTTGCCTACCGTCAGCGTCGTCGTTTAATATGCATAAAAAAAAAGAAAATAAAAATGAAAGACCAGCCGAGGCATGTGCGCGGCATTTTCACAATTTGCCAAGGCGCATTCCACGCCCGCGTATGGCTTTCACCGTTAGCCTGCGTTTTGTAATTAGCTGGTTCGCTCGCGAGGGGAACAGGCGTCTCGTCCGAAAGCGGGATAAACTGCCCGCACGCCGCGCGGAGCAAGCGATGCGGCTCCCGACCCGATCGGAATGGTCGTCATTCTAGTTGTCCAGATCGGACGGACTGCTTTTCCGGACCGATGAACCGCGCGCATTATATCGTTTTCAAGCAAGCGCACAAAGCAATCGGCCAATTCTAAGCTTCGTGTTAATCCGTTTGCCGTTCACCGAAACACGGTGGAGTTGTTCCCAAGGGTCATCTCGAATTGAAACAGCCGGTAGACCGTGCGCGAAAAACAAAGTTATTTCTTTGGATTTTCACGACCAATTTCCGTTGCTGTAGAAAATACGGCCCCTCGTTAACACTTTGATGACGCTAGGATGACGATGGCAGAATGACGGAAGCTGAAATCCTGTAAGCTACTGACAATTGCGAAATTTTGAAAACAAAGTACTACAGCAAAGGACAAGAATCGAAAAAAAAAACTCCGCATGCATTCGTGCGTTCAAGCGTTCGCTACACCACTGCATCGCGCGTATTTTTTTCACGATACAGAAACAAAGAAAGAAAAAAAAGCTTCGCCAGCGCAGAGGGTCTATCACAACACTCGGATTTCGCATGAATGAGCCCACAGGCGAGGATATTATATCTGCGGGCGTGTATGTGAAAGAAAGCGTACGCATACACCTGCGCGAGCTTTCATCTGCTTTACGAAGCGACGCGGAGAAATTTTTATTTCTTCTTTTATGCATATTCGTGATTTAGCTCGCACGATAGCGGATGTTCTCTCGCTTATTCGTCTTTTTTTTTTTGCTCTATGATTTATTTGACTCGTCGTGCTAGTCTCCATATAGACAAGGTTATACAGTATTTGAATGCTTGTTCTGGGTGTGCCTTGAGCTTAGCGAGAAAAATAGCATTTTTTTTGTCGCTGCGAGCAGAAGTGCTAAAGTTGTATTTCTGTTCTAAAGTATCGCGAAACGCCGTTCACGTCATCTGTCTGCGCGTTCGACAATATTAAAAGCTTCATTGACGATTGCAATATTAAATTATCTAATTTTCTGAAGAGGGAATATTTCAAATTTTTAAATTAATCCGCTTTTCGACCACACTACAAGTTTGATATATGCACTAGCGCATCTTCAAAATCCGAGAAAGCCTCATAGTGTGGCATTCAGAAGTTAATTTACTATGCAACTTCATAAAGCAGCTTCTATAAAGCATCATTCGGATTATCCTTACAAAAATTCATGCAAATGCTTTACAAAAAAATCTCGTCGGCGTAAACATCATCAGAATTCCACGATGCGTATTGTTCCAGATATTATACGTGAAAACACTGCCACTCGAGGCGTGAAAATTCCAATGGAATTTTTGCTCTTACACTTTGGATAGAAAGGAAACGGGCATTTCTCGCGCGTAGCATGGCAAGTATTTTTGCCCGTCTCTCTCTTTCTCGTGGCTGAATGCACGTGGTCATGTCTTTAATACTACGAGCAAGAGAGAGAGAGAGAGAGAGAGAGAGACATTTCCTATGAAGGCGACTGTGTGTGTGTTTGTGCCAAGCGTGCACTTTCTAAAGGCCTTCGACTTCGCCACTGCTGCTGCGCGCGAATTCCATCGGGAAAAATCGATGCCGCTTTTTCTACTCCTTCTTATCTCGTCCCGTGGGAATTTTCGTTTTTTTCTTCGTCCACTTGGAAAATTCGAGCTGCGTCGACAGGTGTATAATAGCGCGTACAATGGAATGCCATTCGACGATGATTGATATGCTAAAAAGCCACCTTCGGACTTTTCAATCACAGTACTATGTTATCACGAACGGACTTTGGAAAATAAGAGTTAATTTTTCTAATGACGGAACGAGGCTTCCTAAAGTATTTTGTTTCTACTTTATCGAAACCCAATGTAATTTTATAGGCGTGTGTGCGCGATGCCAAAGCTGCACTTTTCTCGGCAATATCATCCTCAACGGAGAGAGAGAGAGAAAGAGAGAGTGCTAAGTTTTTTGCTAAGTTGTTTTTCTTTTGTTTGCCGGGGTTGTAAAAGAGAAGAGGATTCACCTGTCATTTGGCTCGTTTTTTTTCCGCCAAGCGCCCGTATTCCGCATAGCTCGCAATTAGAAAAGAAAAAAGGGTCTCGGTGCAATGCACATCTTGCGCCACTGCGTCGCTGGAATGCCGCGGCACGAAAGAGAGAGAGAGAGAGAGAAAGAGAGAGAATGCGTACGCCGACCGCGAAAGCCAAACAAATTGCAACCTCGAAGGAGGACGATGATCGGTGTGTGTGTCATGGAAACTGCCGTGATAATTGTTGTTGTGTGGCTCTTTTTTTTTAATGGACTCGCGATCGTTTCCTCTGGTGACAGAAGCTTAGCGATACACGTAATTTCGATTGCTCGCACGGGCTTCGAAGCGATCTGCTCACGCTCGTTTTCAGACGAGGATTGAGAACGGCCGCGACTTGTTATTCGCCAGATCCATTCGACTTATCTCATTGCTCAATCTTCCGTTTATCGATCGAACGTGGCAAAGCTCGACAAACACGCTGTTCGCCAATGAATGAGCCATGACGCGCGGAACGAAACCGACGAAAGGGGCGACGAGGAGCGCGACCCAGCGAGTCAGCCGGTGTTTTGCTCTGCGCGCGACCATTGCCAATTAGGCGCGGCGCGCACGTTCCCGCGGGAAATTGAATCATTACGCGAGCGCGCGCGAGAACCACCGAGAGCCTCGCGAGGATATCGCGTACGCATGAATGGGATTGGCGTACGTGCTCTCGAGGGCAACGAGATTCGATCGCGCCCGCGCGCGATGATTCCGATTGCTTACCAGCGAGCGAAGAAGAAGTGCACGCGCGGCGGCGAACGCAGCAGCTCCTCAAATAGCCATCATTTCTATTATGTAATTCGGCGCGTAACCTTCCTACGCGAGGCTACCGCGCTCGCGCTATCTAATAAACTCGTTATCGCGATCGGGAGCCCATTGTACACTCGGATTTCAAGCTCGCGCCAGGCGCCTCGTCTGCGTCTTGCTCCCACGCGTGCACGCTGCTCTGTTTGTCAGCCGCCGGTTATTTTTTTTATTATCGATTCACCGTGCCGCGCGCATTATCGCCGATGCGCTCTGGCGTGCACGTGTGCGCGCCGCTCGCCTGCGCTTCCGATGGAAATCGACGCTTCGACGGTATCACCCGACGCGACGCACCTCGGCCCGGCCACACCGCGAATCGCGCGATAAATAGAGTACGAAATTCGTGTCCGCCCACGAGAAATTTCAGAAATTCACCTTTGTTCCTGCGCCAGCGTCTGTAAAACAGTGCGGCGAGAGCGATCAGCAGGCAAGTAACAAGGAAGGTGCCGAGCACGGCACCGGCCACGCTGCCGGACGAGTAGCACGTCTCTGGATCTTCCATCTCTCTCTCCTGCTCTCGCTAGGCTCCTTTCTATATATATACGCCTTCTCCGAAGAAACTCACTGGACCACTTCGCCGCAAGGCTACAGCCGCGGCCGCATCACGCGCGCACTGCACTTCTGCAGGACTCTCGTTCTCTGCGTCTCGCGCCGCTGCGATGATTAGAAACTCGCCTCATCGAAGAAGACAACAACGGCGGCGGCGACGACTCGGCATGCCATCTGCTAGGCCGACAAGATGGTGCTGGTCTGTCGCGAAATGGCAGCCAGCATGTCGAGCGACGATGCGACTCGCGTAGCGATCGGCACGGTACTGTCTGAGCCTGAGCGTCCGTCGCGCAGGTATGACGCAGGGAAGAGAGCGAGAGGTGACGGTGGAGGTGCGCGCCGTACGCGTACTATGAGCAACAGGTGCCTCGCCGAGCGACGAGCCAGCGACCGCGGAGGGGAGGGAGAGCTGGCGCGACAGGTTAGGGGATATTGCAGCGCGGCACGAAGCTGCCGCACGGCGGAGATTCTTTCCGTCCGAGCCAGCTATATGCCTATTTTTATTTCGCCCTCTTCTTCTTCTTCTTTATTCTTTTCTTTTTTCAAAGCGATTTCGGATCTGGAGCGCCTGGCATTGAAATCACTGCAGCGCATATACCTGCTATTTCGTGAGTCGCCCTGCATCTCCCTTTTATGGCAATTTTTTTGTCTTGTGGGACTCGTTTAAAGGGCGTATCGTTGGACAGCTATATCGTTTTCGAAGACTCGCTTTATTTTAAGCCTTGGCGATTCCAGTTGAATTGTTCTGTGAAAAATTTGAAAAATTGTTTTAGATCTCTGTTAACCATAGTCGAATAAGATATATTTTTTGCAAAACACATAGTCGGATCAAAGTTTTATAAAATTACTATTTTGTAATATTATTGAAATTTCGAAGATGCCATAGTAGAAAGCCTCTGAATTTGTGAAAAACCACGACGTATAATAGGATCGGTATGTTTCGTGAAAGTCGTTCTTGGCGTAACCCGATAAGTCAAGTAAAAGTTTGATTGTGCTCGTTTCAAAGTAATTATTGTTATACGCGATACATTATCGCGGTACTGCGTCTTGTTCTATTGCGTATCCTTGTTAAATATCTTATATATAATTGATATCACAAAAGAACCTCTCCTCGGATATAGAGGTGAAGTAGTCGGCATCACTTGGTTAATCCTATTTAAGATCCAAGTTAAGTCTCTGTAGAGTTAAAAAACCGATGTAGATATTATTTGAAAAAGGTCTCGAAAACGAATATCCAATTTTGTACATTCATTTGAACTTTAAGTCTATAGATATTTCGAAATCATGATAAATCTGTAATTATTTCATTCTGCCGGAAAATCACTGATAATGAGTTACACGTAATCGGTAATTTTATTATGTAAAATTCTGTCGGCTAATTTCTGTTAAAGTATAATCTTTAGGAGATGTGGGTTTTAATTATCTTCATACGCAGCTATATTTTTTTAAGTATCGAATGGTACTTTTGATTTAACAGACTAATTTTTTGAAAGTATACTTCATCATAATATAAAAAGTAATTTTTTTAATATGCAACTTGACTAAGAATAAATATCAATGCGTTTTTCTTCTAAATAAAGGGAATTGAGAATTTTATCTAATTTTATAATACAATAATTTTAATTTTTACTTTAAACCAATATTTTAAAATAGAAAAAAAGCTTTAGCAAATTGCAAGATGTTAACATTAGATTCATTAGAATATGTGTATCTTCTTTTTAAGTTTTATTCAGTAAAAAAAACCGAACCACACAATAGGTTTTACCGCATATAACAACTTACATACCTTTCTGCAAATTATATATATCGACCTATTATATTTATGTAAGGAGTTTATGTAAAAATTATTCTATACCAACATCATACCGCATGCACAAGCGTTTCCTGCTTGATAAAGCGCAGCATTGATTTCAGCTAAACATTTCTCACTTGTTCTTTCCTTCTCACAGCTCGTGATCAAATAGTATTCTGCTAGTTAAGTTAGCAGTTGTCTGCAAAATTTACTCTGGAGATTAAGTTAGCCGCATTTCGATTGTGTCAAGAGCTATGGAATTATGTTGAAATATTCTACTCAGTAAGTTTTAGTATTATTTTCGTGATAATATTCTTCTTATCGCTGTTTTAAAAACAAAGAGCAGCACCAATACTGCTTTCGATAAAATTTTGGAAAAATACTTTTTAAAAGCATAGCAAATTTGATTTTCAGTATGTTTGCAAACGGAACTTTTTCAATTAATATTTGGAAAAATCGAGTTGCATCTAAACTAACCATCATTATAATGTTTTGTCTACGAATTGTCTTTATAATAGTTTTGCTTTAACTCTCAAACTAGGATTATATTTCATTCAGTAATGTCAACTAAACATGTGTGGTATGAAAAACTATAAACAAACTGTACCTAACTGATAGCGTAATTGACTTAAAAATGTTAGCTTGAATTGAAAATGAAACATTATTTTTATTGTCATATTTTGTAGTATTTTAGTGATCGCCGTCGCTATTGTTTGGGCCCAAACACTATACACTAAAGTTCAAGAAAAGAATTTATTACAAGATGCGGCAGTTAATTTCGCAGTTCACTCATGGAAAGAAAGGGCTGATATACCTGAATCCTATAATGCTAAGGCAATAGAACAAATCAAAGCGCTAAAAAATCAAGAATGGAAGGGTTTAGGTAATTTTTTCTTCCAATTGTTGGATATTTCCGAAGATAGAGAAAAGGTTGCAGGACAGTTTACCACAGTCAATCCTGAAACCAATAATAACAATGATGAGTCTATGGTAGACATAATAAAAGAACTGTTTATTGAGATACTTCTAACTGGAACAACATCTTCTGAAGCGTCTGTCTTGGAAAAAGAATTTAAGGATGCGATCCAAATGAAATTCAAGTCAATTGATGACTTCGGTCAATATTGTATTAGAGTTTTCGAAGAATTTACCGGAAGAACATCACCGAATGAAAGATAACGCGTTAATGTTCCCAGCTGTTGAAACCATTTATCTAAAAATTTTACAAAATTAACTCCTAAAATGTGATATTGATAATTGAGAAAATAAGAAAATAGAAAAAAATTGTCTGTATTTTGTATTGTTTGTCTTTTCACTGTCTTTGCTTCCATTTTCAATTGTAACTATTATAGTTTATAGATAAAATTGGACTTTCAAACTCATCATGTGTTTTCCTTCAATTATAAGAATATTTTCTTGAAAATACTATAAATAAATAATATATCTTTGTCCTACCGGTGTAACTTACCTATTGTATCTTACTTCTACGTTGCTAATTCTGATTAAATTAGTGAAAAACACTTTCTAACTAAGAAAAATATTTCAACTTTGCTGTGAATATTTATTAAACGTATATATTAATGAGTTGTTGTAATATACATACTATAAAATAATAAATTTTCTGAAGTTTCTAACATTGTAGCCCTATATCACATATTTTATTTTTCAGATAAGCTAAATGCTACAGTCTGCTAACTATTGCAGTCTGATAGCAATAAGACATTTTCCAGAGGAACAACATCGTACTTATGATATTGAATGTGATAAATTAATTGTTCTGCTAGATAATTTTTGAGATAAATTTTTTTATTTCATGTTAAATCATGGAAAAGCTATTTTTCTATTATAAATTAATTGAATTATATATTTTAAATCTGAAAATTCATTATGAAAAATTAATTCTAATGTATACTACAAATCATCACGGCGTATTTAAACTTCCCTTGATAGTGAATAATGAGAACAAGCTTGACCGCTGAGTTTCCGTTAATCTGACAAATTAATACTTCCTTTATACACTTGAATACTGCTAAAAAGTACTTCTAATTTTTAATTGGCTATGCAATGGTGCACTAGTTTATTGGCAGCAAGCAGCTATAAATTTAGCAAGCTACAGATATTGAATTTAGTTGAACCGACATTCGTGTAAAACTACAATCATGATGAAATTCACATGTCTGTAAGTATTAAGCTTAATACTTGATTAAAAGCAAAATAAAACATTTAAAGCTATGGCAGCCTCAATAATGAAATTTTCGTCTAAAACTCTGATTTATATGCAAGCGGTAATGGTTGTAAAGTATTACTTTTTTTCAATATAAAGAATGTGAAAAAATGTATTTCTATAGACTTACTTTGATAATTGTATTAATCAACAAATATCACAACATACACATGCACACATAGATATGTGTATTTGCGTATGGGTGTACTATAAAAAATGTGGAAAATTTTTATAATTCAACGACGTAAATCGTACAAATACAGTATCGGAAATCGATTTTTTTATAGCGTTGCTTCTAAAGAATCCATATAATGTGAAAAAATTCAAAATATTATTTAAAAATTAAACTATTAATCATAAAATGAGTCGATATCAGAATTTAGATAGGTATTTTTCTTTAGAATATTTTTAGTGGCTGTGGCTATTTCCTGGTCATACATAGACGCTAAGCCCAGCAAGTTGTGGGCTAGGAGTGCCTTGACCATGGCGAAGCGGCAGACTGATTCCCTAGAACCACCATCGGAATATGACGTGCCGAAATCACAGGCTGAATCCGATGAAACACCTAAACGCAGTGAGGAATCTGAAACTGAACTTGCCAAAGAACTCATTGCCGGCTTGCTTTTGTTGACCGTCGATTCAGACAATTCAGCTGAAGTGGACAGGTTAACACTAGCGTTTAAAAAAGCCGCGAAACAAAAGTGGGACAGTTTGTATGAATATGCTAGTCATTTATTCAGAGTCTACGAAGAAGTAACCGGAAGGAAACCTGATGATAGTAACGAAGCTGAATAATTACTTGACTAAGTTATTGATTGTTAAATACTCGAATAGAATATAATGTTATTCTATTGTATGCTTTTAAATTTTCACTATGTATGTATTAATTTATAATTTAATCCCTGTATTCAAATAAATTTAAGGCGCAGCATTATTGAAGCTAATTATTTTTTCTACAAGAGAAAAGTAATCATCAATTCAAACTTTTGAAAACGGTCTAAAGACTAAATTTAATCTTTGAATGAGACTATTTCATATTCATGTATGACATCTTGGATATTTAAATATTATAGATTGTAATATGCTAGAATTACTACTGAGGAATGTTACTTTTTTCTGCTTGAATTTCTGATATAGATTAAAATTCTTGTCAGTCCATCAACAAATTTCCCGTTTCTTAAGGATTCTGATATAATTGAATGTTTGGGTGGATTAATAGTGTAAAGGACGACCGAACAAAGTAGATTTACTTGTTATATGCTTAGTTTTTCTACGCATATTTCAATCATTTAGGCATATATCCAAACACAAAAATACAGCTGCTCTGCTTTCAAAGACTGCCTAAATTTTAGCTGAAAAAAGATTTCTAACAACTAATAAATAAACACATTACGATTTTTTGGAGAGAGCGCTATAATGTATGCTTAGCAGTCAGTAAAGGCATTAGTATACATGAGGGCTAAAGGTATTGGTGTTAATCTTAAAGAAGCGATGTGCGCTAGTCTCAAACTCTGTCAATTTATACAGTAACTTTTCAAATATATAAAATTTTTATAATTTAAAACAATATTTAATAGCAAAGACATTATCGATTTTCAAATTTAATAAATTTCGTATATTAGAAATGTGCTTCTTAAAAAACTAGAAGTGGACCGTAATATCAGTTCTTTAAAACCATACGATAATAATGGACAGCAATAATAATAATTTTTTAAAAGCAAAATGGGTACTACGTACACAAAAACATAATATATTATCTTTGAACACAACTTTATATATTTTAATAATCAAAAAGCGAAAAATCTAATTAGCGTTATTTACTCATTTAATACCAAGATCCCGTCAATGTTTATTTAAATTGCGTGTAAAGAACTATCGAGTTTGTTATAATCTGCTTCCTTTTCGATGTGATATGAAATGTTAGTTTCGAGTTTTACAAATCACTTTGTATCACTAATATTAATCTACTAAACAGATTATACACTTCCAGGAAACTAATTCATGCATCAAACTCTAAAATCAAATAAACAAATTACTAAATTGAATAAACTATTCTATTCTGCCATTTACGTGATACAGGCTGTAATCATGGTAAAATACTTTAATTTTTAAGTCTTACAATTGTTATTTGATTAAACTATGTTACAGGAGTTATAATCATTTCAATAAAACATAGTACTTATAGTACAGTGCAATAGTTTCAAAATACTTTCCACTTTCTTAACGTATTTTTGGTAACCATTACATGCTCATCAACACTTATCAACGTGACCCAAATAAGAATACAGATCAAATTTATGAAGAACTATCCAAAATTTTACAAAATACTGTTAGAGACCTAATTCACGTTAGCTGTGAAAATAATTCAAGAAATTCATTTTCAATATACAGTATTAGTAAAATAAATAGACTTCTATATTTTATATATTTATATTTTTCATTAACCCAACTAACAATATTATAGTACTAATTAGTTGTATTTAATCGTAATCTAATACGGGTTTACTATATCCTAGAATTTAGGAAAATAATCAGATGTGGTCGTATAATTTGAATATTTAAAAATTTTGATACTCAATGTCGACGTTGTATTGCTGTCATTTTTTGTTTGCCATGAACACTATATTTCATAGAGAAACTGAATGTCTAAAAATGAAAAAAGTTAGGAACCATTCATTTTTTTATATGGATTTATCAAGGTTTCCTGGAAATTTTCCGTGGTGAAATGTATTACGGAAGAAGAATTATACACCTATCACAACTATGTCTGCAAGAAAATAAGTGGACAAGAATTTGAAAATTTCGGTAAATAAAATAAACCCAACGTAATAATCTCATGTGCTTGAACTTTTTCTGTTATAATCTTGTCAAGTCTTGATTGTCACTAATAAAATTGACGCGTAAAGTCATTATTTACTTTAAACAAGGTAAAATTTAAGCTAAGTTGAAAGAATGACCACAAATGTCGTAGAGTCACGAATCGTTCGCCTCTTGAAAGAATCGTCCGTCGTGCCTCGATGCGTCTCGCGTCTAAAGTGTCGTGTCCCTCGGCAAGTGTGTCGTAGGCGTGAGAAAGAATATACCCTCAGCACGTAATAATAAAGCACATCTCGGGGCCGTTGTCGTTCGTTGTATGTGTATGTGTGCATTTGTAAAAGATAACGTACGTGGTAAGAAAAAAAAGGGGGCTATATGGAATTACAGCGAGATTGTTTCCGCGCGCAGATTTTCTCGGAGAGGCCCAATTACCTTCCTTACTTTCCGGTATGTATATACATATTCCTTGCTGCCTTTTGCTATTCTAAATGGCGCGCACTCGCTGCTCTCTCTCTCTCTCTCTCTCTCTCTTCTTGTGCGTGTCTGCGCAATTAATAAAAGCGCGCCCGTTGGAATTTCATAACGATCGGCCAACACGACATTCCACACGCTCTCTTTCTACTACATGTGCGTGTACTTATACTATTAAACTACAAATACGCGGGTCTAAGTGCGAGACGTAGTCGAGATATTATGAGAATATGAATGTTATGTATCTTACACGCGAGATAGACCTTTCGTTCGTATTTTGCATGTTCGTATTTTGATTTGTTTCGTCTGAAAATCTTTATAATAAAAAATATTGTTTTTCTCATCTTTTTTTTAACGTTTTCCAACCGTACTTATATCTTCTGCAAATTACCTTTAATTTTGCGCCAGTTAGTGATTATCATTTTAATTTGTTTTCTGGAATACATTGACTCTTTCGCAGAATCGAAAAAGTTGTTGTTTAATAAATTGTAACAACACTCATTAAAAAATATCCTATTTGCTCATGAAAAACGTTCGAGTAAGTAACTTGCTGTAGTCATAACGAATTCGTATTTTTGAGCTTGCGGATAACAGCTCATAGGTGGCAGCACGATGCTGAGAGATCTCATTGAAAAGCTTGTCTATGTATCATGGTAATGTAACATATATTGAGCCAATAAAACTACCATTCAATTCAAAATTTATTGAAAAGCTTGCTGAAGTATCGAGTCTCGAGGGTCAGATGTCTAGTGAATGCACGATCTCGATGATTTGCCAGCATTTGACGTGCAACCAGTTTTCTACAAGTTCGAATGTTCAAATTTCGCTAACAGTTTCTTTTCATTTATATAAATCAATTCAATGCAAGTGCTCTCTGAATGAACAATTCCATTAAGACTCTCTCGCAAGTAGCTGTAAATCCTCTCACTACCTGAACAACACGAAAACGTTTTACAAAAATTTTTTTGGAAAACTTTTAAACGTTTATGGATTGTTGTAGCCCAAAGCATCTTTATATTTGAAAAAAGTGTTTAACACAATTGTAAAACGTCTTTTTTTAGAATAGTGCGATCTGAAATGTTCAAAAATTTGTAAAATGCTTCGCACATGTTTCAACGTTTTTTCCATTCTAATGTGTTTAGGTAGGAATCTACAAATGTTTGTGAAATGCTTGGCCATCATTTTGAAAAAGTTGTTTGAATAAAAATTGTCATGTTTGTGAATCCCTAGATGTTTCTAAATCTATAAGAAAACTTTTTGAATATTGAAGAAAAAATTTTGATAAAACTTTGGCGAAATTATATTTATTTTATCTGTTTTTATTAGATTAAATGTATAGAAATAAATTGTTAAATGAATATATGATGTAACATTATAGTATAAATTTATAATTTAAAAGTAGAATCATCCTTGTTAAAAGAAAGTCGACTGAAAACTTGACTCGGTGCTCAAAATGCATATGTATACAAAGTCTTGTCGAAGCGGAATTTTGAAATAGGGAATAAATGCACCTGACAATTATTGGTTCCGGCGCTCTACCGTAGCAACGATTTTGACCAACTTCTTTTGGAAGGAAAGCACATTAATTAAAGATCTTTGCGTTTATACAACGTAATTTATTTGAACGCCTACATTTCACTCGTAATACCATTTCAAAGTCGATATATCCAAGTCGTTAATTTCATTTCTGTTTGCTCCGAATGAATAAGTTCTTCGTACGTAAACCTTCCTGTTGTGAACATCTTGTAACAATCTGTAATTATCGGCTAGGATACCTTTGCCGTTAGATAGTAATCGAAATTTACTCATCTGAAAAAGATTTATTGTACATATTACTTGACCGTGTGGGCGCGCCTTTTTTCAAGGAAATCACTCTGAAAAAAATCCTTTCTAAATTATATTATAGATAAATGAGGGAAAAACCTGTTTGAAAGAGATGGGAACGGCTGAAGCAAAGACAATCCATGTAACAACTTCATTGCAAGGCGGTGTTGTCAGAGAGCCCCTGTAGGTATAGTACGTGTTCAAGTGCTGAGGCAGGAAAGAAGCCAGTATTATGGAGGTGTTTAACTTGGTTTCGCTATTGGCAAACTGGATTTCGGGTAGGTGGGATATCAGTGGCTTGAGTAGATCGTTGTCCTCTTCTTGCAGCTGCAGAAATTTTATTGTATGAGGGGAGTAAAATGTCGAAATATGATGAAATAAAGAGGAATATACTAACATTGAAAAATACCCCCAAGACCACCAAACCGTCTTTGTGTTGAAGAGCTGTATTAAGGTTCGCGTACTTCATGTTGCGATGAATCAAGTGCATTTCCATGGGATGCCTGTGCTCGCACAAATACCATTTAAATATCTAATTAAAAGTAAATGTGAAATTGGTATCGATACCTTGTTCCATGTAGTACATGTTCGGATCCCCGACTATTTCTTAATCCCCAGTGAAAATGAAAATTCTCTAGTTCATAGTCTTGATTCTCATCGAGTAGCGCTCCAAATATATAAGGGGTTCGTTTGCGTAGATCGTCACGCTTAAAATTCATTGTTACTGAGGGAAAAAAGTCATCAATTGCAATTATTGACTCTTGAAAGTGAACGACATAAGATTGAACTACCGGTATATCCGTTATTTGTTAATACAAGTGGAAGAGGGAGAAAATCGTGGTAGCCAATCATTTCTAAGGCTGGAAGAGGCAATGCAACCGATCTGCTTGCTGCTATGACAATCGGTGATTGCCATTGCCCACTACATTCTGGAAAGTCATTGTACCATGACTGTTGACCTACCATTTCGGAAGCTTTATATTAGTTTTTCAAATGATTTTCGCAAAGATGACATTTTTATTGGATCTTACCTGATTGCGTGTAATCGAACTTTAATGTTTCAGAGAAGCCTAAAATATGTTTCCGATAAAATTTAGTGTATGACAGTCAAATGAATGAATATTTATTTTTAACATACAATTTGCTAATTCAATCGAACAAGAAAGATATCGCCAAATATTGAATCTTTATTTGTAACGTAGTGAGTAGAACTTATTACATAAGTATCGAGTAGTGAAATAAAGCTACCTAATCAAAGCATTGAATTATTCGTGATATGCAATGATGAGCGCAATCGAAAGATCAATTAAAAAGTAGTTTGAATTGTCAAAGTTAGTCGAAAAGACCATTACCTGCCATATTCCACATTATTAGCACAATCAACAAAATATCTCTCATAATCGATTGAGATTCAATGAGTATAACTATGTTTGCAATATTCTAATAAATCCTCACAATAACATTGCTAGATTAGAGTTTTTCAGCACCTCATTAATTCTGCTGCACTAAAACCAGACATGTATAAAGAAGCCGCAGCGATGACTGCAGTTTTCCAGAATCAGCTAAGCCGCAGCGACGATGTCGCCAAGTGCAACATGATCAACTTCTCCCACTAAAGTTGCGAGTTCACTCGATGTGGAAATTACACATTAATGAACGTGAATTTATTTCGATTGCGTGCCCGTCACAGGGATTTTTGCTCTTGTCCTTTGTGTCGTCGAAATAATCATACATATTTAATACCAGGATATCAACTAGCGTGGATCGAGGTATTTTTATCATCTTGTTTCAGCGTCATACGTACACTCGTATTGTTTCCCTTGATCTGTCGGAAACGAAATCAACTGAAAGTAAAGGTTTTAACGAAGTGAAATAGCGAAGAATGTGTGAAATACTTTTTATTTTTTTTTTCTTTTCGTTTCTTTTTTATAACTTATTTCCGTAAAACGAAAATGAATAGATGTACATGTAGTAAATTCTGTCTAATACAAGTCGCGATATTTATATTTACAGGATTGTTTAACAACTACCAAACATTTACATAATGTAAAAGTCTTTAATTTTCATCGGTACCAATAATTTACTCATAACTGCAATAATTATGAATGTGAATGTCTCTATATTCATATAAATATATCTTAGCGTAACGTTACAATTAAATAAATAGTACAGCAGTTTTGAATAAATTATCAGTGCCGTTATAAAGTGATAATCTTTGTTCCGGTATATACTTAATGTAAATTTAACTATAAAGCATTATTATTCAATAAATAAATTTAATAATTTGTCACAAGACAGTAAATAATATGCTTAAGGCACCTTAGAAAACGCATCTGAAGAAGAAAAAAATATTGTACTAGTCTAGCCTAAGCTTGAAAACATATATGCAAGTAAGGACTACGGTAAAACTTAACAATATGGCGAGATCGAACTTCTCTTATATATAACATTTTCACGCATCCTCAGCAAGACGAAGAAAAACAAATAGCTGCTGATTCGATAATTATTACGACAGTATTTACAAATCGTCATACAATAACTAATTATTTTCTTTTTCTGTTAAATATGATGTGGATAATATATGCTATAATCTAAATTGCTTCCGCGCGGAATTCAACACCAATTATAATAAAATATTACTTTATAGTCTATCCTAAAGATAACTTCTAGACGAATATGATTGACTGAGCCGATTTACAAAATATTCGCGATTATGGCGATTCTCATACAAGTTGTAATACTTTTCAATTGATATGTCAACAATTTCTCTCACTCACGCAGTATTTAAATAAAACATCACAACTTGATACATTATCATCTGGAACCGATTATTTTTTCAGTTGTCTAACAGTAAGTTATCAATAAAAAATATACATACTCCATCGACCTTCTGATACAATTGAAAATTCGTTGTTTGAAAAAAAATAGAACGGTATAAATTTAATTAGGGATTTCGACGCGTGAAATATATAAAACGACAGTCCCCGAACAAAATTTTCTCCTCCATCGAAGAAACAATGCAGCTAGCGATTTTCTGATGGATAAATTTTTCTGATTGATCACCTACATTGTTGTTTCGATATTTATTTTTTATTGTTATTGCTGTTATACGATGTGTAAAATGATATACGTATAATACATTTATACCCTCTCAAAGAACAAAAAAATAGTAATAATAACTCTCGAAACGATTATCACATCACGAATACTCTTTTACTAGGTCATCCAATGCTTCGCAGTTTCACAAGCCATCTACGTATCTCAATTGAGTATGTATATAATAAATAAGGCACGATTTCGTTTGTTGCAGGTGACCTGCGCGCACGAATATAGATCCGTTAATGCATCGCTGCAAGGATCTTGCTGCGAAGGAAAAAAATTAGGTTTTTCTTCGTTTCCCTTTCTTTTAGTCGAGCGTTTCTTTCCCAGTCTTCGGTAAGAAGAACGACAGGAAACCACAAGCTGCAAGGTAAAACGATTAGTTAGTTTCCGGCAAAAGCAACGAAGGGGTCAAGTATAAATTGAAATGTCTCATAGTTACCAAATAAGAAAGCAGCGAACAGAACTACCGGCACGACGCAGGCCATGTCGATTAGATAACCAAACACGAGGTTACCGACTAAAGCGCCGAGACGACCCATTGTTAAAGACAGAGCAGCAGCCATTACCCTGGAACACGAAAGAACAATGGAATCGCGATCGATCCATCTGCGCGTCTCGTCTTCGCATTCGCACCAGGTGAGCCTGGCATTTAATTGGTCAATGTCAGAGAAACGAAAACGAAGAAAAGCTCGCGAGTTCAGCGCTACTTGCACTTGAGCCGTGCGAGGGGCGCGCGTGCCAAGAGTCTAGAGGCCGCACACCGACCGGCGCGTGCCAAAAATAAGGTGTTTGGGATGAGCTCACGCGTGCACGCGCGTACAACACTCGCGAAGTAGGTCCGCGCGATTCATTGCACTCGCTCGGCTCACCTCAAGTTCGTCGGGAACATGTCCACGATGATGCAGTACACCAGCGATATACCAAGTGACGTTAGAGCCTCGAAGATGCACGACAGCATGAGATTTTGCGTGGCGTTGATCACGTAGTAAAAGCCCACGGTTATCACGCCAGAGACGATCAAGGATAGAACTGCAAACGAAGGAGTTCGGTGTAACGTAACTCGCCTCGAGTCAAAACAGTCTCGGTGCGATATTTACGCAGACACGCTGAGTGCCTGTGCTTTTAAGTGACGAGCGCGGTGTTTGTTTACTCACTGAGGAAGAACTTTGCGCCGAGCTTGTGAACGAACAGCGGCAGCACAATGGAGCCGGGCAGACAGGCCAAACCGATGAAAATAGTATTGTGATAGACTTTCGGCGCGATTTCCGGATGAAGACAGCCATAAGGGTCGGTAAGATTGCCGGTGCTTTCCTCCAGTGAAGACACGATGCACACCGACGCATCCTGGTTGGGATGGGTGTCGGCGAAGTCTTCGAACCTGACACCACAAATCCGCGGAATAAGCGAGTTGCCGAGGCGTTGCTGACTTTCATTCAACTGTAAATACCTGGTGAATAATTCAGGGAACCACACCATCAGGGTGTAATAGCTGCTGGTCAGACCAAATTGAATGGCGCAAGAGAGCAAAGTGTTTTTCAAATACGGCGGCTTGCACAGCTGCTTTGTCAGATCCCATACTTCCGCGCTCAACACTTTCAAGTCCTTGCGTTTGTGCAGCTTCAGCGCTCGCGTACTCTTGTCCTTCGAATTTGGTTTCTCTTGCAGGGATTTCACCTGCAATCCGAATATCAAGACAAGTTCGCTCGAGATTCTCTCGATTATTTTTGGAACATCGTGTCAATGTATCAGCGAGTTCTTTCGTTTTGTACAACAACATGTTTTGTCGAGGGAAGCAAAAATACGTGTTGATGTGTTTACGGTTTGTTGAAAAATAAGCGCAATAATAATTCAGATTATTTTGAGGTTTTTTCTTTCTTATTCTTGTTCGTCTGCCAGCGCGTCATAGAAAAATTGTCGCTTTTGCCCGAAGTCGTACGTAGAAGAAGAGCAAAGAACTCGGAAATATTCCTGACAGATAGACTTACGGGATAGCTGTCGGGATCGTTGCCGGTGTTTTGCGCGTAGATCCACTTGAAAACCTCGAGAGCAGCATCCGTCTCGCCACACTCGAGCAGGAACTTTGGACTCTCGGGGAAGGCGAATAACCAGAGTCCGAGGATAAGGGAGGGCAAGGCGCACAACGCCACGAAGAGATTCCACGATTTGAAGACGAAACCCGAGTTTTCGTACGACATGTCTAACGGCACGATCAGCCAAGCGATCACTGTAATTTTTGAGAATGTAATTTTTCAGAACATTTTTCTTGACCTTAGAAATACTATTCTTAAAATTCCTATTTTCAGAAAAAATTTTCTTGATTGAAAAGTGAATTCAATCAAAAGTGAATTGCAACGAAGGTCAAGAACTTGTTTTCCAAGTGTATGCAATAAGGGCTTACGTGGCAGAACGATGACGCCGACGGTCCAGAACATTTCCATCCAGCACAAAATCCTTTCGCGGTGCTTGGTTGGCTGGAATTCACCCAAGTACGGGAACACGATACCCATTGCACCTGTCACACTGGAATGACAGAACGGTGAATTTAAATCATTCGCAATCCAGTAGAAGTACTTTCGCATGTTGCACGAGAGACTTACGCGAATCCATTGAAAAAACGGAATACTAGGAATACCCAGAAATACTGAACGAACGAGGATAGTATACCAACGATACCATCCATGAGTAGAGTAGCTATAAGGACAATTTTGCGGCCTTTCGTATCAGCTAGGCATCCCCATATGTACGAGCCGATGACCATTCCTGAAGTAAATAAAGACATACGTTGAAAAGCAAACAATTCGATTTCGGCGAATGATCGTTTAAGAAATGTTACGTATGAGCACACTTACCAAGCATCGGCGCCGCCGTTAGCCACCCTTTCGATGTCGAGTCCATTTGCAGATCGCATTGGGCTGCCGGTAGTACGAAGGAGAGGATCGTCACTCCGACCGCAGTGTCCATGTAGATCAAACCACTGATTGCCAGTAACATAAAGTGAAACTTGCCAAACCCTGCGAATCGAAGACAAAACATTCGTTTCGATTGATTACGGAAAGTTTACTTTTGTTTCGGAGGCGCAGACATTCGCGAAGCGTTATCTCAATTGGCACTTCGTTTTCTCTGGTTTTATCGCGAATAACACAGGAAAAAAGAGCTCGTAAATCCATTCCGCAGCAAAACTTATCAATTGCCGCGTATTGCGCGTATCGCGGATGCTTTGAGATCTCAATCAGCGACTGAAGACTCTCTCTTCTCTTATCACTTTGCCACGCGCTTGTACAAATGTTTGCCGTGTGGAAGATACTTCATAAAGAGAGCATTTTTGAGAGGGATTTCGTATTGTTACCAAGATTCAAGGTGACTTATATACTCTAAGACGTAGAAATGAATGTGCAGGAGAGTACGAAGGCTCTTATTGTTGCGTCTCTCGCAAAAGCTACATTTTCACGGGTTGCATAGCTTTATGAGGAACAAAATTGCGATCAACAGTTGCTCCTTTTGTACGTAACAGTAAGTTATTATTGCTTGTTCTGGCGTTCTTTGTCAGGTTAGCGGTGAAAAAAAATGATGGCATTGCAACGTTACATTTTCGTGCTGCATGTTTTTAGGAAACGCAATGCAATTGTGCTTGATTTTATCCGCGAGTAAATACTTCCGTTAGATATTCTATCAAAAGTGAGATAGTATGTATGCATTCACGTTGAAAGTTGAAATTGTACTCGTTAAAAAACAATCATCGTCCACAGTACAAAGAACGATTGATCATAGATGAATGAACTGAATATTTTACGAAAAAAATTCCACAACAGTTCAAAAGATTTCCTGAACTTTCCGATTGATAATATCAATGTTTCGAATCCCGTATTTTGCCACTTCGGATTCGCGTGCCTCGGTTGTGTGAACGATAAGATCAATTCGATAGCCAACGAATCGCGTGCTTGCGGGAATTTTTTTGTTCCTCTTTATTTTTATGCATAAATATCATTTTCGTCGAATGCCATTTAATCGTAAAGCGGGATTAAATTTGTCATTGGGTTTTGTTTATTTTTTTACCTGTCACTGTAATCGCGTGCTCGAAGTCGGCACCTCCGTCTGCCAGGAAGTCGAGTCCTGAAAGCAAAAATGTACAATTTCAATTTTTTACAAATTTTCTGCATGTTTTGATTTTTTAAGAAATATTTATGTTCGTTATATTTGACTGTTAGAAACTGTTGTATCAGATTCTGATACATTTAGTGGTGCAACAATGTCTGTTACCAAATATTCATATTAAAATGAAATAATTGGATATTACTAAAATAATGATATACATTATAAAAGATTTCAAAATAAATTAAACTAAAATTATCAATGGACCGTAACGATTCTAATTGCATATGCCATTAGAAAATTTATCAAATTTTATTCACAGAGGAACAAAAGAAAATAGCAAAATATCGCTATTACGATAATAGAAACGAGATCGATGAGTCATACAGCGCGAACTTCTGAAAAGTCGTGCACGAGACGTGATAATTTTTATAGCAAGTGCGCGTAAAGTAGCGCACAGTTAGTGTCAATTAGCTTTTGTTTGAAAGCCCAACATCTTTGATATTTGTCACGTCAACAGAACTCATTTCACTCAAACAAGATCATCGTTGCAAACGAACGATAATAAACGTTAGACAATAAAGGTTCATTTTACTTTCTTGAGTATTCTAGAGCATTCGAATATGCAATTAACGAACCTTTATTTTTTCAATTTTTGTATTTTTGCAACAAGCGAATCAACACATCTTTTTTATCGAACTTTCTTCAAATTAACATAGAAATTGATAAATAAAGGAAACTTTTAGTAGAGAAAAATACGTTTTCATAATTTGATGCACCTGTTATCTCGTCGACACAAATGAATCGTAGTTTCAAATGCCTAATAAACAGGCGAGTGTTAATTGATTATAAATTTGTTTACCATTACATCCAAATATTAAATGTTCTTTTATTTTTTATCTGTTTTGTCTCCACAGCGTTTGCTATATTTCTCGTAATATTGCTGTTAAACTTTCTTCTTTACTTTATGTTTTATCAACTTGTAAAAAAGGAGGAATGTTTTACAAACATGACATTTTTGCCATTTTAACAAATATGGAAAAGTAATCCTGATTAATTGTAGCACATTTCGGATCATCAGTATAACCGTAATTCGAATTTGGGAATTGCGAATGTAGCTTTAACTTTATATAATCATGGGTAGTCGATAATATTTTGAAATTTCGCGCACCTAGCTCATATGAATGGTTGCTTTGCCTGTAGCGTTTAAGATTTGAGAATCCGAACGTTGATTGATAAATTATTAAAAACAATTTGAAACATGTGAAATTTAATTAGCGAAAGTCTATAAGAAAACATTGAACGAGCGAAAAAATGTACGTACCCATTTCGAGATCCTTTCACGTCAAAGTAACCAGAATTGAAAAAAGTATCCGTAAAAAAGTCGGGCGCCTTGCCAACTAGGTTGAAGAGTAGCGCCGTGACGTTCAACAGGTAGCTGCGGTCACAATCCTCTTTTGGTACTGCTCGCAAGCTATGAGCTGCTTTCATTGATGGTTCTTGCCTTTTTCTCCAAGAATCCCACCTTCGCGTTGCTTGCTATACAATTATCGTCTGGTATTATCTTGCCGTCACCACCAAAAGTATAAAATACACGATTCGAAAAACTTCACTCTTACAATATTGATGAACGCGCACGAAGTCGAGAGCAACTGACGATGGTTAAGCGCGCAACGCCGCCTTAAAACCCTCCGCGAGATAAGAGACGCGAGCTCTCTCCCACTTCACACGCACTGCCAACGCGACTTTCCGTGGGTACACCAAGGTAGGGAGTATCACGACCAAACAGGTGAGCTTTTCGTAGGATGCTGCTGCTACTCCTCGAGGTCTGGAACAATCGTAACATGAACTGTTGTAAATCTTGCGGTACACCTTGATCTTTTGTTTTTTAAACGCCGGGTGAATGCGAAAATTCCATGTATATTTTTTCGTTAGGAAAAGGATCGAAGGATGTAAGATCCACGTTCCTTTGGTGGAAAATCTTTGATATGGTACAGCGTTGATGTTGCAAGAAATATGGGTTACTTGACGATCGCCTATACGGGTAGCTGATCATTCTCATAGGCTAAATATTAAGCAAATAGCAATAACGATGTTAACTTTCAAACAATCTTTCCGAGTACTACGATAATTGGCGAGAAAGAAACTGCTTATTGTTCTAGAAGAATCGTGCACGTTCATTGCAAACTTCGTAGTATTCACTTATCGATAATCCGAATATACGTTCTGAAAAGAAAAATTCATTTTTTCATGTAGCCTTTGTTGAGCCTTATATTTGCACGATATCGTATATGGAAGATTATAATTTAATTATGACGACATTGCGTTTCTCGCATCGAGTTTAATCTCATAAGTGATTAGGCAATCATACTCCATGCCCGATAAAATGATTATTCGAAGTGAATTAACGTTGCGTGTATCACGTGAGACATTTTTTGAGAAAGACTGCATTACCTGTCTAAATACGCAGCTGTACAGGAAAGCGCATCGATCGATTGTACGTTGTATATCTTCAATTTGTCCTCTGCAAATTGCCAGATTATTTCACATATTACGGGATATTTAATGTACTATGATGATTATTTTTCGTTTTGTTTTTCTTTTTCTACAAGTATGCGAATCTTAATCAGCAAATAATAGATAAAGAGCAGACAGATACCAAGGTGTCAAATTGATAAAAAGAAAATTTTTTTTCGTCGACCGTCGCGGTAGCACGAGATAATTCCAGTCGCGAAGCGCGTGTGGAGCATCAGTTGAGGATGTTAGACGCGTCGCGCATCGTCATTGTTTACTTTGTTGACTCTCATCGAGCGCGATAATTTTTTTTTTCTTCCTAATGCACCTTTCCAGAGCAATACTCGCAAATACGAATTCATCGAGATGAAACTGCTTGTTGCGTTCTTTCCCCCCACACCTTCGTGCCCACAACGCGATACATCCAATTTCGAAAAACTAGCAATTGATGAAAGGCCAACAGTAGCGATCGTTGAGTCATGACCTCAGTGACTCGCCAATTATTGCCTCATGACTCAACAAACATCAGGAATCGCGGCTCAACAACAAAGTAATGCACACAGCAAGATCTCGAGTGAAAAAAAATGTGGTGTACTACTACTAGCGAAACTAGGCACTTTCGATCAGCCTTCTCAAGGGCGATTCCATCTCGCGGCATAAGATGAAGGAGTTGTACATACATCCAGATCGTATTTGATATATCTAAAGTGAACCGTTTTTCCCGCGACAATTTCTATTGTTTTTCTCGCGTCGTGCATTTTACGATGGAGCTTTTTTCTCCCTTGAAAATTCCACCACTGAGCACATTAGTTTCTCACGTGTTTTTTTTTTGCTTCTCTCGCCAACTCGTAAAAATTATATGCGGAGATCATCAAGAAATCAGAATAATAATCTCACAGTAAACCAATTCACTAAGCTCAGCATCGAGTTTGATAATGCAACGATACAATAAAACCACTCGACAATTTCTCATCGGAGAATCGATCGTCAGATTGTAACAGCGACACATCCGACAATAAATCCATATCGTTATCAACACATTGGCGATATTGGGCGTAATAAAAGAAGTCGGCCGAGGCGCGTAGAGCAGCGGCGAAAATGGGAAAAGAGCGTCTTCTTGTCCAGACGCGCCGACACACGATACGATTTCACTGGCGCGCGCGCCTTTGCTAATTAAAGCGCGGCCAATTCGACGGCGGACGCCGCAGCGAGAAAGAGAGGCGCGATGAATGCGGCCGCCGGCACTTACGCAACCGAAAAAGAGCTTTCGCGTGACCGTGACCTTGAAAGACGTACTGCGCGCTGCTTTACCTGCCGCTCGCGTGCGCGTTGCCAAGTCTCCTCTACTTGGCTTTTCCAAACGATTTTCTCGCCACTTTTCAGCCAATTGACTCTCGAGACGTATTGATCCGAGAGTGCCAATTCTGGGCTCACAACGTTTATTGTTCAATGGACGATATTCAGTGACTTTATTGTTGCTCACCGTCGGTCAGAAGCTAATTACCGAGGTTTAGTGAAATGTTATTGAAATACTATATTTTTATCGGTCTTCAACCCACACTGACATTACGGAACGGCGGCAGTTGCATTTGTCACGATGCAAGTAGAACAATCGCTCTACTCCAATGGAATTGCCGAGATAGGTTGTTTTTCTTCTTTTTACAGGCAGATAAAAAGGGTAGCGCGATAGCTAGCGCAAGATCTAGAAAGTATGCTGTTTTTGATGGAACAACGCAGCAGCAAAACAGCCGTGATACAGAGAAAGATAGCCGACGAAAACGCTTAAGCAATTAGTCAACGCTCGAGAGTGCAGAAAAACAAATGAAATCTTACGATGGACATGCGGATGGTTTGATATAATGCGATGGCTACTATACAGCTGGTCGATAAGTAATCAGCTGAGGTGCCATATCGTCGAAAAATATATGGGCTGCGCGTTATCGCTGTGGCGCAACAGGACTTTCCGCTCAGAACCAATCCTAATGGAAATGCCGTCAAAATAGCAAGTGCCGCTGCGCGCCGTGATTCATTGTCCGGGATGTACGCGCTCGCTATGCAATGTTTTCTTTTTGTCCAATTCGTTAGGACGGTTAAGAGGAGCGTGAATCTACGGAAAGATGATTATCGCGAGGAATACTTGCCGATGCCAATTTTTCCATAGACTCGTAATGACCTGTTACCACGGCACCGCGCCTCTTCGCCGTTTCTGAACATTCCAACGAGAGCCAATCGCAACTCCATCGTTTCGGTTCTATATGAAAAGGGAGCTGGCATGACGAATTAATTAAAGGGAGAAAGGCGATTCCATCGACGCGCGCGCGCTCGCAGAGCTCAGACGGAACGGGTGATTTGTCGGGCACTCGATCGTTCAGCAGCACCGCTCAGTCGTGATTACGGATCGTCGTCGCGTGCCGCTCGGCCGAAATTTCAAGCGCTTATCAATAAAACTGCCGCAGTCGCTCGACGATACGACGCGCAAGGTGGGCGCGCATCGCCAGTCACGGACAAATATTTGAATTGAGCGTGCCGCCAAGTGCGCGACCGATTGGAAAAATTACACGCTTGCGTTCTTGGAGCACCGTTGCTGTTTTCAAGACGCAAGGTACGCGCTTCAGCTTTCCCCTCGCGGTAATTTATTTTCATCAAGTATGGAGACGAATCAGTCGAACCGTTTTTCTTGATGGAATATTTCCACTGACATTTTTTCTGGCCTCATAATGCAACATTTCAAATAACGAATTTCTTGAAATGTTTTAATTGATTGTTTCGCTTTTCAACAGTGCACGCACGAAAGCTTCAAACGAAAGCCAACAATCGCTATATAATTATCTTGAACAGTAAACGTCTACTGTGAGTCAATATTGTTGTCGATCGTAAAATCGCTAAACATCTACCTGTGAGATTTTCGATTTGACAGGTAAACCGTATTTGCACAACAGCCGCCATCCACTCGTCATAATACAGCAGCAGATTGGTGTAAGCTTTCGAGTAAACACAATCTTGTCACACATGAATTTACTCGGCAACTTGCAACGTGTCTCTCGTTGGCAGACGGCCTTAACGAAGAAAAAATAGGATTGTATCTGTACTCGTAAATGACGCGTCGCGTTTGTAGAAAATACCCCGATTTTTCGCGTACTCGCATGCGCGCGCGCACACACACACACACACACGCACATACGCGCGCATAAACCTCATCAAAGATAAACTGCGTCACGAATCTCACGCGCCGCGTCTGCATATCCCTTATTAGTATGCATACGTCACGCGGCGATAAATCAATTTGCTCGAGCAGCTTTTTTTGTTATCGCGGCTAATGCACAATTGCAACAAGAAAGAAAGAGCTCGTCATTAGCGTTTCAATGTCGAAATGTTATACTCTTGAGGTGTTACAAATTATGGTAATGCGCGTTCCACTGACATACATTCTATCCAAATTTTCACGCCTCAGAGCCAACGAGATTACGCCAAAATGAAGAAAACGACTTCTTTTTTTTTAAATTGTTTTATTCAGTATCAATAAAAAAAGAAAAAGATGCGATCTCACCTATTTTACCAGTGATTTACCACGCGCGTAGTTAGTTTGAGAGAAATCCCTTGACAATAAATTATCGATATTAGCTTAATCGACGCGACTTTCTGTCGGTGAGACTTTATTTTCTAGGCCGGCCGCCACTTTTAATTGTTTGCCTAAAACAACAGCATAAGAATGACTATGCGTGCGCACGTTTTGCCAGACAACTGGCATGTATTTTTCATAAACATTCAAACATGTCTTGTATGATTTCCATAATACTTGCCATTAGATTTTCTTTGGCAACTAATTTCTAATGGAAATAACAACTATAATATTAGAAAGAGGTTTGATATTTAATAGCCCTTTATACATTTTCTGCATATTTCACTTCATGTATGTTCATTTGAGAAACAAATAAGTTTAAAAAGCTTTCTTCATCAAGGACGAGAAGGCCTCGAGGGACTATGAAATGAGTTAAAAATATTGCCAAAATTCATTTGATTTTTTATATGAATAAAACAGTTGAAAAATCTAAGTTTGAAATAAAAATATAAAATTTCGACAACCTTAAAATCAATCTATAATATTGAATTCAATTGATTTTAATATAATGACTTACATTAGGATACATCTACTTATAGCATTAGGCAATAAAAATTTGGCAGGCTTTCAAGTCTTCAACACTCGAATATTTTGATATTGTTTTTTTATCGAATGCGTGATATTCAGTCACAATGGCAATATTATTTGTTCATTTTTCGTGGATGAAGAATGAAGTAAACATATCCATGAAATAC